CTTTCTTTCTTTCTTTCTTTCTTTCTTTCTTTCTTTCTTTCTTTCTTATTTATTTATTGTCAATTGCTTACAAAATAATAGGTATAAGTAAAAACATAGTTATGAATACATGGGTACATATAAGAAAAATAAAAAATAAAAATAAAAGAAACAATAGGTCAGGGACGGTAGGCACGTTGGTGCACTTATGCATGCCCTCTACAGACCTCTTAGGAAAGGGGTGAGGTCAATAGTAGACAGTCTCAGGTTAAAGTTTTGGGGGTTTGGGGAAGAAACCACAGAGTCAGGTAGAGTATTCCAGACATTGACCATTCTGTTGCTGAAGTCGTATTTCCTGCAATCAAGTTTGGTGCAATTAACCTTGAGTTTGTATCTATTGTTTGATCTTGTGTTGTTATGGGTGAAGCTGAAGTATTCATTGACAAGTAGGACACTGCAATGTATGATTTGATATACTATACTTAGATCGGACCAAAGGTGGCATAGTTCTAGTTCTAGTTTTCTAGGTCTAGAATTTCAAGTCTGGTGGCATAAAGTATTCTGCAACAAGTAAAGGAGTGGAGAACTTTTCTTGTGAAATATTTCTGGACTTTCTCAACTGTGTTAATATCAGATACATAATATGGGTTCCAGACTGATGAGCTGTATTCGAGTATTGGTCTAGCAAATGTTTTGTATGCTCTAGTTAGTAGTGTAATATTACCAGAGAAAAAGCTATGTAAGATTAGGTTAACAACTCTTAACGCCTTTTTGGCTATGTAGTTACAGTGGGCTCTAGCACTTAGGTCATTTGAGATGAGTACTCCAAGATCCTTGACAGAGTTTGGATCACCAACAAGGTCTTGACTATTCAGCCTGTATTTTATTTTCTGATTTTTTTTGCCAATATGTAGGACAGAGTATTTATTTGTTGAGATTTGAAGTTGCCATTTGTTTGACCATTCTGATACATAGTCAAGGTCTTTTTGAAGGGTAGCAGTATTGTCTGTGGTGTTGAATATCTTTACATCATCAGTGAAGAGAACGCAGTTGCTCTTGATATGATCACAGAGGTCATTTATGTAGAGTATGAAAAGAGTTGGTCCTAGAACACTGCCTTGGGGGACACCACTGTTGACAGGTACAGAATTTGATAGGACGCTCCTAATTTTGACCATTTGTTGTCTGTTTGACAGGAATGCTTCTATCCAGTAATGCAGGTGTCCAGAGATACCGTAAGATTTTAGTTTTAGTAGTTTGTCATGTACCACTGAATCAAAGGCTTTACAAAAGTCTATGTAGATTGTGTCTATTGCTTTGCCCTGATCAAGTTGTGTAGTCCATGTGTATGTTTGTGTATGTTTTTGCAGTGTAAGAGTTGCAGATTACATGATAGTTTTTTCCTAAAACCAAATTGTTTATTAGAGAGTAGGTTGTTTGTTTCTAAGTGGAGGATGATGGATTGGTTAATAGTTGATTCCATGATTTTACAGGTGATGCAGCATAAAGAGAGCGGTCTGTAATTTTCAACTAGGCTGGGGTCTCCGTTTTTGAAGATGGGGATGACCGTGGCTTGTCACCATAGTTTTGGCAAGGAGTTGGTCCTGAAAGATTTTTCAAAGATTATGCTTAGAGGTTTGGCTATGGCAGTGGATAGCTTTTTAAAGAAGTAGGCACATATTCCGTCCGGTCCAATAGATAGAGATGGTTTTAGATTCTGTAGTGCTTTTTCACCATTGTCTTCTGTAAAATCAATACGTATTAAATCGTTGTAGTTGTCTGTGGTTCGACTAGGAAATACTGGGCATGATCCATTGCTGTTTATAAATACTGAGCCAAAGAATGTGTTAAAGAGGTTGGCTTTAATAGTGAAGTTGGCAATGTGACCAGATTTGTTTTTCCTCCAAAGTGATTTCTTTTTGGATTGGAGCTTCCTTATTGTTATGGGTAATTTGTTTTTTCTGGTTTTGGGAGTTGTTAATAGTACATATAGTTTGATGACTCTTTTGACTTCAAGTAAAAATAGGTTGTAATGGACTTCTACAGTATTGCATCCAGAGAATAGAAATTGCCAATCAAGGGATGAGAGATCATTGTTTATAAGATCATAGCTGCTTTTTTTGAAGTTATAATTGGGGATTCCATCATTGTGGTGATTTTTGGGTGGAATATGTTGAGACAAAAGTCAATCATGTTGTGGTCACTGTTGGAAAAGGGTTCTTTAATTTGTATTCCGTAAATTGAATTCAAACTATTGCAGAAGATGAAATCGAGGCAGTTGTTAAGTCTAGTGTTGTTGGTTACTAGTTTTTCTAGTCCCAGATTTGTTACCGCATTGTAGAAAGTTGCATGTGTGGGTTCAGTTGTACATTCGTTAAGGGTCCAGTTAATATGAGATATATTGAAGTCACCAAGAAAGATAAAAGTGTGTGGGCAGGATGCTGCCCATGTTAGTAGTATATTTAGCTTGTTTGCATGTTTGATGTCATAATCAGGGGCTCTGTAACATAGCAAGAACCGAAATGTGATATTTAAGGACAGTTCACAGATGATGGTCAGGAATAGCAAGCTCCTGGGTAACTTGGATGTTTTTTAGATGTAGGGACTTTTTATAGAAGATAGCAACACCACCTCCTCTATGGATTTCACGATCTGATTGGTAAACATGATAGTCTCTTATTGTGGTAATGGAGTCAGGGAGAGATGCGTTGAGCCATGTTTCACAGACAAATATAATGTCGAATTTAGCCGTATTTAGTAAGAGGAGAAATTCAGGTATTTTATTTACAAGGCTTCTTGCATTGAGTAGCTTGTATTTAAGGCCAGTTGTGGTTGGAATAGACGTAGTTAGGGGCGTTCATGCCTAGTTTTGAGTGATGCTGTTTCAAAATGTGTTGCTAAGCGTTCTTCTATTGAGTGAATGAGTGATTCTATGCTTTCAACTCTGTCAGGTAGGGTACTCAGTTTGTTTAGCTTAGGAGAACATGATGGAAATAGATAAAAGAATGTATCTGAATTTTTAACCATATCAGCTAGGCTTTTGTTTGTGTTTAAGCAGGCAGGGTGGATTAGATTATCGCATTGGCGGCATTTGATGTAAATTTCGCTTTCATTGATGGTTTCAAGACATCTGAAACTCGTGCGGGAGACTGGGAGGTCATTGGTAGAGATATTTTTCTTTTCTTTTGGTTTGGAGTTTTTGGCTGTCATGGTCAATGGCAATAGTACAGTAATCAATTACAATAGCTAGTTAATGTGATAGGGAGACAGTTACTTAACGAATGTTGGTAATTAATAAATATTAATTGATATGTTAGAGAACAAATCAATAGTAAGGTTACTTATTACTAAAAATCAATCAATCAATCAATTGGTTACTCAAATCACTCTAATCAAATAATTTTGCTAAGCAACAAACAGCCTAATTTATTACAGTAAATACTAAATACACTGGTCAATTAAATTCACTAAATCACTGATTTTACTAATCAGATATTCAGTAATTACACTATATGCACTAAACACTCAATCATACTAATCAATAAAAACAATAAATCAATTAATCATTTGATAAAAAAATATTTTAAATTAATTAAAATTAATTATTTTATCTTTACCCAGTTTGCATCTTTTTGGAAAGAGGTGGGCAAAACACCTGGCAGATGGCAGAAGGGACAAAAGCCACCCTGGCTTTAAAATACATAGGCATGAGCACAAGGCAAAGAAGGCAAAGTAAGAATGGGATCAGTCAACAAGAAAAGACCTACTGTGGCTCCCAATAAAAATGACCAAGTCTCTTTTCTCCTTTGGCTGTTTCAGTAGTATTGAAAATCACAATCCCCCCCCCCTTTTTTTTGCTGTCCTTCTATTTCTTAAAAAAGAAAGACTTACAGTATTATACACTCTTAACACTGCTATTATTCAAGCACAAAAACAGAATCTAAAAAAAAAAACCCCGAACCCTCCACAGCCAAAGGGGCCTAACACACACTAGCTCAGAGGAACACGGACATAACAAAGGAAATAGCTTGCAGCCAAACAAAACAATGTT